ATTACTGTCCCAGTGACCTGTGCTTGATGTTATACCGTAATTATGCTTGCATCGGCTGAAACAAAATACTTTTACTACAAATAGCAATCACATTGCTTCTTTTTCCCGGTCTTGGATGGTTTGAAATAATACATTTATATTAAATACGCAGCCTATACTAAATACTTGACTAATAATTACTTTTAATTAGGTGTTCTCTGCTGAATCACTACATTCTAAAACTGCATCTCGTTTTTCGCCGGGGTTTAAAGAAAGAAGGTTCTGATCATCATTTAGATGCAAAGTAAACTTTTTTGATTCCACGGTTAGGAACGTTTTCATTTCCTGTTCCGTCTGTTGTTTGGGCACTGCCCTTCGCCTTTTTTTAAACCAAAGAATTACGTAATAGGCTATTAGCGTTATAAGGATCCCAATGGAGATTATCCAAGAAACACCAAAAATAATTTGATGCTCAACAGCAATTATTCCTTCTTGTATGCTCGCATTCGATACCGGAATTGGTGCTACAGCTAACGCAAAATATTTAATTCTGTGGCAAATGACATATCCCAATATTGCCGACAAGGCTATATTCCAGCTCATGAAAAGTGCGTGCGTGTGCATGCCGAAGGTATCGCTAAAAGTTGGGGTGTACCTCTGACTACTCATGGAACTTAAGACCTCGTGCATATTGTCCCTTTAGTCCAAGAGCCCAGAGCCGCCAGACACAACTTATTTTCTATGTGGGATTGTGTATTAATCCCCGACGTGGATTTTTCCAACAAGGGAAAAAACCAGATGCTATCTTAGAAACCTGGCATATAGATCATGCTGGCCCATTGATGAACTCCAATGGATGCACGCAAATCCTTGTCATCATTGATGCCTTTTCAAAACTATGTAGACTCCAACCAATTCCGAGGAAAACATCTGAATGCTCTATTCAGGCGCTGTTGCCGGTTTTTGAAGAATTGGGCAGGCCCAAACGGATAGAGGCGGATAGGGCCGCTGCTTCTACTTCCACTATATTTCAAAACTTCATGAGTGAACAGAAAATTGAATTACATCATATTGCAACTGGTGTACCCAGAGGCAATGCCCAGGTAGAACGCCTTATGCGAACCATGTTTAATATGTTGCGAGCTACTCTGACTCACGAAAAAGAAATTGATTGGACGATTGCCCTACCAGCGATCGAGGACAATTTGAATGTTACGGTTCACTCGGTAACTGGCTACTCACCTGCTGTGTTGCATTTTGGCACAAACCCAAGGTTAGCAGCAACCCGGAAATTCTTAGGCGAACCACCAAATGATTCGTTGGTTGATCCAGAAGAAGCCATCGCAATAGCACAACAACGTGTGAAAAAAATTGGTGACCGTCAAGCTCAACGATTTAATGAAACCCGGCGTCGGGCCACCTTGTTTAAGCCAGGTGATGTCGTAGCCATTGAAGATTCACAATTCGCTGGTGGAGGAAAACTGAAGCCAAGATACAAGGGTCCTTACACTATTCAAAAGATCTTACCTCATCAAAGATATCAACTACACAAAAAGGGACAACGAACAACGGTAGCCGCACATGACCAATTAAGGCCATGGTCATCGCAGTAATTATAAAAAGGTGAGTAGCAATCCTACATTACCTATTAAGTTCCTAAGTACCTATTCAAAACTAATTGTGTTTTGGTGGCGATCCCATCAATATCTGAAAAGCTTACTTTAATACTCCATTCTCCATATTTAGTGTAAAGGTGGCAATCCCACCAAAAGTACTTGAAATAATAATTAGTGGCAATCCCACTAAACTTTAGAAGATGGTTGGCAATCCCACCAAAAATACTTGACATAATATTTAGTGGCGATCCCACTAGTCCATCGAAAAAGATGGTGGCAATCCCACCAAAAAGCAAACCCTCCAAAAGTAATTGAAAAAGTGGCATTCCCACTAGCTTCTCGCCATGGTTGGAACAATTATTATTGATTATTACTGGTGTTTCTATCCTATCAATGTCTGTTGAAATGGTTGGCAATCCCACTAAGTTTCATTTAAAGGATTATTGGCAATACCATTTGAAACTGCAATAACTTACGTTACTAATTAACATGAGTCCGTTTGTTATGAAAAATACTGCTGCTTTACTTCTTTTTAGGTATAAAGAAACAATAAACAAGTCGCGTGGACGCTTCCTCACAGGATGGCCGTGTTAGCAAAAAGGAAAATCGAAATCACCTAACCTAACCGAAATCACCTAACTAACCGAAATTACCTAACTAACCGAAAACACCTCAGGTGTGTTAAAGGATAGCCGAGCCCTGCTGTCATCGAGCCCTGCTGTCACGGCAAAAAGTAAAAGTCAATAGCTGGCCGTACCGATTATTGCTTAGCAACTTTGTTTTATTTTACGGGCTATTGTTTTATTGCAAAAAAAATAGTATTATCATCTGTGCAATAAAGTTAATAAAGTTATTATAAATATTATCTGGAATAAGTTAGGTATGTAATTGATGCTTTATCAGTGTGGCGTGTACTTTCTGGCCAATCTTAACACAGGCCTGTATCGTAGCCAGGTTTTATTTTACAGAAACTTCAAAGGTATCTTGATGTGATATGCGTAACGCTATTATTATTTATAAAGTTAAAGTTAAATCAATAGATTGTGACCTTAAACACAAAAAGACGAAATACTATACCTCAATCGTTTACGTTAAGAAAGAGCTACTTATAAAAACCCTACTTGAAATTTGTATGCAAACTTACCTTACAATATTTGCTTTTATTTTGCAGTTTTAATTCAAAAATCGGCATTTTCACTTTCACTCATTGAACACCGAATAGCCGTCGCGTGGTCAAGTTGACTCTACTTTTAGTTGTTTGGAACCTTGTCTATGAATCTCTTCCTTTACGTCGGTGTAGAAGAGAAGGTGGTAGGGATGAGAATTTCACATACCTGACCGTTTAATTACCATTTTCCGTGTATTATTACCATTTTTAAGAAGGTTTGACACTGGTGCGATAAAATTTTACTTAATCGGGTTCAAATTTTATCGCAAAAATACTATTTACATTCGGGAAATGATTTTTAATAGCAGCAAAAAATACATTTAACACCGAGTTAACAATATTAGCACTCAGTTGATTACAATTACGCGCTTGAAATTACTCGGTACTATGAGTTCATTTGAGTGTATATTTGTGGTAATTATCATTTGCACGGGTGTACAAATATACACTCACAATTTTCACCACCCAAGATATTCTATTTATCAGCAGCGTTTTTTTTTACTGTATAACCTTCTTTTACATAAATATAAAGACTACTTGATTGAAATCTCAAAAATATTGACAAAAACATACTCACCACATATCCTTTGCTAGCCTTCAATTTAATAGTTTTACTAGTAATAGCCCTATTTTGCAAAAAATTTGCAGACTTTAAATCATAAAATAAAAGTTTTCCTAAATCCAAACCGATTGTTGAAATGTCTCCTCTACACCGAAAGAATGATTTAGTTATAATAACCTAAAATTAGTGACTATTACTAAATCGCTGATTGAAATATGGCTTATTAAACCTTTGTTCACAAAACACAAATTATTTGTTTAAAAGCTGATAATAAAGCACTTTTTCAATAATATACTAAATTTATCAATAGTTAATTGACACATATTCTAGACAAATATAAATTCATTAATAATAAATAAATATTTTGTTCATTGAAGTAAGGGTTTCGTGTCTTTACTTACAATAAATGAATATTTTTTTTTTTAAATTTACATTTATTAATAATAAATTAATGTTTTGTTCGCCGAATTAAATTTTATTCTGTGCTTATTAACAGTAAGTTGGTAGTAATTGATTTAAAATATCGTTTATTATTAATAAGAAAATATTTTGTTTGTCAAAATAAATTTGTGTTTATTGTAAAAAATGTATATTTATAAATAATATTTAGCTTTGTTAGGGTTAATTTGAATTTATTTACCATAAGTAAACGTTTTTTAAAAGTTTGTTTTTAAGGCGGGAACAGACATGCGGTATTCGGCGAGTCTCGAATCACAAATCATTGCTATTCGGCAAGTAGCGATTAGTGTGTATCAGTGGGTCGGGCATTTATAGCGAATATATGCCCGAGCAACCCATACACACTAATCGCTTCTTGCCGAATAGCAAATATTTGTAATTTAAGATTCGCCGAATACCGCATGTCTGTGCCCGCCTTTAGGAATAAGGTACTCTAAAATAAAATAAAAACAATCCTTTCTAAAAATGATTTATTTTCGGTAGCTGGTTGTTACATAATATTTTGTAGAACAAATAAATAAATAAAATCAAAAATATATTCTATAGTGCAAAATAAATATTTTCTCTTTGCACCGAAAGAATGATTTAGTTATAATAACCTAAAATTAGTGACTATTACTAAATCGCTGATTGAAATATGGCTTATTAAACCTTTGTTCACAAAACACAAATTATTTGTTTAAAAGCTGATAATAAAGCACTTTTTCAATAATATACTAAATTTATCAATAGTTAATTGACACATATTCTAGACAAATATAAATTCATTAATAATAAATAAATATTTTGTTCATTGAAGTAAGGGTTTCGTGTCTTTACTTACAATAAATGAATATTTTTTTTTTTTAAATTTACATTTATTAATAATAAATTAATGTTTTGTTCGCTGAATTAAATTTTATTCTGTGCTTATTAACAGTAAGTTGGTAGTAATTGATTTAAAATATCGTTTATTAACAATAAGAAAATATTTTGTTTGTCAAAATAAATTTGTGTTTATTGTAAAAAATGTATATTTATAAATAATATTTAGCTTTGTTAGGGTTAATTTGAATTTATTTACCATAAGTAAACGTTTTTTAAAAGTTTGTTTTTAAGGCGGGAACAGACATGCGGTATTCGGCGAGTCTCGAATCACAAATCATTGCTATTCGGCAAGTAGCGATTAGTGTGTATCAGTGGGTCGGGCATTTATAGCGAATATATGCCCGAGCAACCCATACACACTAATCGCTTCTTGCCGAATAGCAAATATTTGTAATTCAAGATTCGCCGAATACCGCATGTCTGTGCCCGCCTTTAGGAATAAGGTACTCTAAAATAAAATAAAAACAATCCTTTCTAAAAATGATTTATTTTCGGTAGCTGGTTGTTACATAATATTTTGTAGAACAAATAAATAAATAAAATCAAAAATATATTCTATAGTGCAAAATAAATATTTTCTCTTTGTACTTCAGATAATAACTAGAATAATAAGACTTATATTCTAAAAAATAAGATATTTAATATCTTAGAAACAAAAATAAAATATGTACAGGGTCTGTTCCTTATAATTAGTGCGGCTTCTACAACTAAAACAAGAAAAAAATAGAAAAAAAGTTACCTTAATACAAAAGTTGTAGCACTTCGCCTCTATTATCTTACGCTCATATCAAAATGGGCAAATGACAGGGGCCAACTATCATAATGACAAATACTTGCATTTTTTAAATGAAACACCCTGTAGATTTTTGGCTAGAATGATTAATTTTTTTCTTGTGATTCCAAACATACCATATTATTGATATTTGGTTTAGCTATTTTTGCATTAAGTAAGTTCAAAATTGCATTAGGTATGTCTCAGGCTTGATTTAAAGAACTGAGAACAGACCCTATTTAAGGTAATGTAATGCATTTTTAAACTTAAATAGCGTATAAACAGCTGAACCAAATATCAACATAATATGGTATATTTGGAATCAGAAAAAAAATCTATCATTCTATCTAAAAATATACAGGGTTCTCCATTAGAAAAATTCAAGTGTTTGTCATTATGACAGTTGGCAGCTGTCATTTGCCCGTTTTGACATGTGCAAAAGATGATAAAGATAAAACCCTACAACTTTGATATTTAACTTTTTTTTCAATATTTTTTTTTTATTTAAGTTGTAGAATATGCACTAATTTTAAGGAACAGACCCTGTACTACCTATACCAAAGAAACGAAAAAAATCTTCAAACCCTACAGATACTTAAAAAACAATTGAAGAACAGCCCTAAACCTATTTATATTATTTCCTAATGTGGGGACTCTAGTCCAAAAATTATACTCTTTGGCATGCTATTTTATAAAAATACCAAAAAAATAAGACATCAAATATCTCAAAAATACAAAATTAAACCTAGGTACCAAAATAGAACTGAAAACCAGCCCTTAACAACATATTATTATAAGGGTGTGCATGTAGTGCACAATTTCTCGATTATCTTCTGTGTAACAAGTAAAAAACAAAAGCTAAATATGCAAAATTTTGAAAATCAACTGGCTCGTCTCTATAACATACAATATTTAATTATTTTAGTGCCACCATACTTTTTTGAACACTTGGTTTAAATTGGAAATATTTTCTAGAAAACACTATCATCAGGTTAAACCAAGCAGACAAATCAGGTGTTAATTCTAATCGAGGATTCAAACTTTATTTGCAGCACCCTGCATATTAGGAATATATTAACTTCAGCATATTGCTTTAAAATAACCAGTCTCTAAATTCACAACCTATTCTTGGTTCATAGCAGTAACATATTTGCAACCATCCCCAGTAGCGTGAATGCTAGTGGGGATGTGAAAAATATTTTTGAGATCTATAATATCACACATAGTTTTTGAGCGTTCAATTATTTCATACGCCTCTAGTTGTTTGTTAATTCCACAACAGAGTAACTTTTCATAAATAAATTTGATATTTTCATCACTATTATATAAAATATTTTTTATTCTACCAAATTTAGGCTCTAAATTGGTATTTTGACCCACTTGTATAATAAAACCTGGCTTAAAAAGGTTGCCATTGACCCTGATCCAACTTACAACAAAAGTATTTTTAAATTGTGATAAATTACAAGAAAATGGGAATTCTTCTTTTTCAAAGGTAGAAAGAGTGCCTAAAGCTATATTATCCAAAAAGCCTTTATTTGAAATCAAACGGTGTGCTAATCGTAACTGATGTTTAATACTAAGAGTCAGCGGGATATTTCGCCTCGAAGAGACTACATTTGCGTTCGATTTACTGATTTTATGAAAGGCCTCATATCGAATTGATGAAAGGCGTGATAAGGGGCCAAATTTTTTCATGGTTCTTGAGTAATGAAGTAGGAAGTGATATTTGGGAGTCAAATGGCTTTTAAATTCTGAGACGTATAATTTATGATGTTCACTTATCATATTATTTAAATAAATTAGTTCATCTTCACTAAAGGAGCCATTTGACACTAAGTTAGTAATGTTGAATAGCAATAAATAAAGTTCCCAGACTTGATCTGAAGGCTCTATGAGGTCATAAACCAACATTCCAAAATAGGTAACAAAAGCATGCATTTCAGAAGAAGACATTATAATCATTTCTTTTTCTACTTGATTTAAAGTAATTGGAGGAAATTTATTGCCAATATCTGCTTCAGTGTAATCGAACTGCTTGATGCGATTATTTAATGTTTCTAGGCTAAAATACTTTTTTTCATAAATAAAATACTTTAAAATTTTTCCAAAGTCGTACCTGCAAATGCCTTCGTATATATCATGCATGATGTCAAAATGAATATTTTCAGTGTTATGAAAGTAGGGCAATTCGTTCCACACACAAGCCTCCTTAACCCCAAATATTTTTTCTCGCAAATAAATATGATATTCGTTTTTTTTTCTTAAAAGGTTTCTGTTTTCAGAAATCATATTTTGTGTTAATTGCTTTGGTGCCGTGCAGGATCGACAGAAATAAATGGACGAAAAACTTTCAGTCATGCCCGTTATTGAATTTATTCCAAGATTGTCACCCAGTAAAAGTGGCGCAATAAAAAATATTCGTTTACCTTTAACTACAACTCCTTCAAATTCCAAGTACTTTAACTCATTAATGAATGGTTGAAAAACATTCTTATTCGAAAACACTACTCTATCAGAGGAAAAAAAAAGTCCCCACAAGAAAATATTTTCTATTCTTGAAGAATACTTTGGAGGTGTTGCAGCAAAAGAAAAGTAAACTCCCCCTAATTTGTGAACCCCAGCTTGTGTACCAAGTGGATTTCCTGTTTCGAATTCATCGAAATAAATATATAATGGCAAAACCAATTTTCCACTATATTTCTGTTTTACTGTTTTCCACCAATCACTATTAAATAAACTAGAAATTTCTTCTTCCTTTATTTCTTCTTCTGCGATAAAATTTAACATGCGACTTAAAATATTTGGCATTTCCAAAACTTTTTTAAGTATTTTCCTTAGCGGTATAATTTGCTCTTCACAGGGCTTATGTTCTACAATGGTATTATTTGAAGTTGTAGTTCTGTTAACACATTCGCTGCTGACTGGTTTGAGGCTACCGAACCCGAGAAACTGAAATAAATATTTGGGAAATGATACACAGTTTGGATACCAGGAAAATGGAGAATGCATATATATAATAGAAAACAAAAAAAAAACGCCCTTAGGGCAGGGACGTCTTAAGACGCCGTCAGCCTCCCGCTAGAAAAAAAGATGCCAGGGGCGGGTGGGCGTCTAAAGACGCCTTGCAAAACAAAACAAAATACAACACATTATGCAATATGAAATTCATCAAAATGATAGAGCTACATATTCCTATGAAAATCAGCGAAACACGGCTCAATACACAGGGCTGGCTTTCCAGGACAGGATGGACAATGATAAACCGTTTCTTTACGAATCTTCTTCTTGCAGCAGTTAGTGCACTTTCGATGGGCGTGTTTTTTCTTTCCTCCTGTTTGAGGATTTTTTTCTGGAACATGGTTTGTGTTGCGGCGACTTTCGGCAGGGTTAGGGTTAGGACCTTGTTTTTGTGGAAGTAAATACTCAAGAACACGAAGTCGATAATCGTACAAGGTCACTCGTGGTTGTGCGTACTTTTTGAATAAAAAAAAAGAATTTACTAGGAGCATGTAAAAGATATAAATTCCAATTTTTTTATACCATCTCAATGTTTTTCTATCACATTGATAGTACGACATCATTTGGTCTTTTTTATCTATACCCCCCATGGACTTATTGTATTGGCAAATGGCTTCCGGCTTTTCTTTTTCTTGTTGGCGCCTATTATAATATTTTGCCAAGTTGTTTCCAAATTCTGTCGATATGTAAAATACATCTCTGTTGTCTCGCCATTTACCTATCATAACTCCGTTCGAGTAGCGCGCAACTGTTTCTCCTTTTTTTAGTTTGGCTGTTTTCACTTCAACTGGATTTTGTTTCCGATCTACCCTAAGAGTACCAGTACAATAAGTATTTCTAGACAATAATTTGCAGGCGAGGTCATAGCTATTGTAGAAGTTGTCTAAGTATAGTGAGTGCCCTACATCTAGTTTCTCTTCCATCAAGTGGAGCACTACATTGGCAGCATGTCCTTTACCACCAAAATCGTCTAGAGTACCAGTGTAAACTGAAAATTTCAGAACAGTTCCATCTGGCTCCGTTAGCAAATATAATTTCACGCCGTATTTGTGTCTTTTATTTTTTATGTATTGCCTGAAAACCAAACGGCCACGCCATAGTACCATAGATTCATCCAGGGATAAATTTTTTCCTGGGTAATAAACTTGATTCATTTTAGAGTTGAAATAATCTATAACAGGTCTTATTTTGAATAACCGATCCGCTGGATTTGGATCTCCAGGTTTCGGATTTCTGCTAAAATGTAGACATCTCAAAATTAGCATAAAACGGTCTCTACTCATATAGTTCGAAAATGCTGGAAGGTTGAAAAGCCGATGTTTTTTCCAGTAATCCTGCAGTCTATTTAGCCTAATAGTGCCCATATGGAATACAAGACCAACAAATATTTTCAATTCCTCCTTTGTCAATTCTGCCCACTTTGTTATTCGAGATTTCTCTTGTGTATTCTCAGAAAGAAAAACGTCTTCTGCGTAGTTATTCGTTTCCAGAATTATCATTTCAAGCAAATCGTCATCAAACAGTAAATCAAAATAATCACCTGGTTCATTGCCTAAAACAAGATAAGAATACCTAATAAGAGAGAAAAAATTTAAATTTAAAATTTACCGTCAGGTTGAACTATTAGCTCCCTCTGTTTTGTAAATGTCAATTTTTTAAAATCCCCCACTGCATCCCATATGACATCATCCACAGGAGCCTGGCCAGGTGTTTTTTTTTTAGGTTGGGGTTTGGGATTTGTTGTTAATTTTAAACTATTATCCAAAACATCGGGAATATTATCGTGGACGGCTGATAAATCCAAATCATCCTCATCACCTTGGTCATCACTGTCACTAGAATTGCCATACTCAGCCTCAACATCTAAATCCTCATAGTCTGGATCACCAGTATCATCATCCGAGTCCAGCAAATAGCTTTCTAGTTCTTTATCATTCAAAGGAATTCTTTGTTTCCAACTTTTCTTACACAATCTAGGCCTTTTCACCCCTGAGGGCCCTGCCTCACTATCAGACATCGCAAAATCAACGGCAACTGTTTTTCACTTCTTCAATACGTGTACGAAAGGTTGAGCAAAGCGCAACGCACCCGCTCAAAGGCTGACGATTTACTGGAGCGTTATAAGACAGACTGTCGAAGACGTCGAAAGACGCCCACCGCCTCCCAGCACAGAGGCGGAGGGCGTCTTTCGACGCCGTCAGCAGCGAACGTGTTAAGCATATTTCCAATAAAAAAACTTTTTGGTCTAATAAAATACCCTAATTCTTCTAGAATTTTAAACCGCTTGTGCTCTGAGTTGCATGTTTCAAACAAATCTTTTGATAATAAAATGCTCAATTCATTGCAATTAGAACCAGATGTTTCAGGTAAATTAAGTTGTGATTTGATCTTGGAAAATATGGAGTTAAGTAATTCCGAAGTATTATCAATAACATCTTGAATGACAGATCTATTTACAGTGTTGTTATTATACAGTTTAGTCACAAATAGCAGACACCTCATTTCGGCCTCTTTAACAATATTTTTTGCATCATTAGAAAATACTTGTGAATTTGTGTTCGAAATATTATGTTCTATGCTAATTTCATCTATTGGACTAAAGTGTCCAATTGTGTCCCCAGATTTGTCAAAGATTGTATTTTCGGTTGATAACGAATTGTTACAGTGAATATGAAAGTTTATTAAATGTTTTTTGAGTGCTGATAAACTATTAAATGAGTTGAAACAATTTACGTAACCACATTTGAATAAATTTAAAAATCTATGGGTTACAGTCATATGGATAACAAAATTTCTTTCATCAGAAAATGTTTGGAAACACGTTTTGCATTGCATTTTGAACTACCTATTAACTTTTTTATTTAATAGTGATGAAAATATTGATAAAAAAAACTCTAGAAAAACTTATTTACCCAGTCTTAACTTAATTTTGTTGACAATGTCCAAAATGTTAGGAATGTTGTCAAACTTTGTATTCAATTTATACATTGCTAGTTGAATAAACATCCAGATATGTTCTGCTTCAAATTGATACACCAAATTCAGGACATGTATCAATTGGAAGCAAACATCTATCCCCTTCAAAACAGAAATTACCTTATATAATATACTGTCGAAGCTGACATAAATATTTTTTATTTCAGTATAATTCGGCGCTTCCACAAGCACAAAAGGTAGCATCGGCAACCCATATTTTTTTAAAGTATTTCTCTTAGTTGTTATAGCGTTTTCCAAGTCCCCAGGAATCTAAAAAATACAATATATATTATAAAACGGGCTGGATATTATGTTTTTTTATTTAAAATTTACCTTGATCTGAACAACCAAACCCTCCTTTGAATCATTTGCCGTTGGATGCCAATTTGTTTTTGTCTTTTTATTAAATGATTTTGAAGGTAATAAAGACACCAAAACATTTAACATCAAAAAGTGTCTTGATTCTGAAATTATAAAAGATTACAACCTTACGGTTAATATTTTGGGTTAATTTATACCTTTGTTGACATTCGGAGAGTTGATTAGTTCGATGATTACGTTATCAGCTGGTGTTAAATTTTTTTTACGTATTTCCAGTAAATGTTCTAATACTGTCTCAAACTGGTCAAAAATTAGTTGATAATTTTCTGGGAATTTTTTCTGGAAGTCGGTATCGATTAACGTGTGTCCTAATGGATTTTTAATAACGGGAAATTCGTCGAGAATTTTATTGAGCTTCAAGTCCTTTTTTACAATAATCTCTCTGATGTGAAACGTTCTAGCCCACTTTATGTGCACTTCTGACCAAGGATCTTGGTTATTCTTTAACCAGGTGATGTCATTGAAGTTAGAAGTGTCTTCTAGAAATAACAAAAACCAAGATATTTGAATGGCTATTAACGGGGTACAGGTTTATTGGTTATAAATCTATCTTTTTTATTTAACATTTTAGAAAAAAGTGTTCCAAATAAAAGTTTTAGGGTTGAAATTAATTTTTTTGAAAAACTCACTTTCGCATATACAGGGTGTTTCAGAAAAGCCCGTCATGCTCCAAATTTCTTATTTCAAATGGAATACCCGGTATATTATTGGATATTCGGATTCTACATAAAATTCTGAGCAGATTTCATGTGATATACCCTATACCTAAGTTCAACTGTTTTGGAAATATTGACAGTTGAAAATTGATTTTTTTGCAACTTTCACAAGCTGTAAATCCCAAACGGTTAATTTTAGAGCAAAACCGATCTTACATTTTTATCTTTTTATAAACTATCAGTTCACACCAATATTTGACATCAACTTTGAATTTAATCCATGATTGAAAATTCCAATTAAATTTAATCTTCAGTTAAATTCAAAGATGGTGTCAAATGATAACTTGTGAAAATCTTAGAAAAACATGTAAGATCGGTTTTGCTCAAATTTATAATAAAGTCAATTTTCAACTGTCAATATTTCCAAAATCGTTGAACTTAGGTATACCGGGTGACAATGAAACTACTACCCACGGCGGCATTTCTTAACGGCTCAAGATAGAAATATGCAATTTCGTATGTCGATAGGGTTGAAAATTTTGAACAATTTCAATATAAAAACAATTGAATATTTTTTCCGGTTTCATCGGAAATGGCCTTGACTTTGTTATTTCAAATGGGACACCCTGTAAATTATATTTTTTTTGGACTCTCTCAACAATTCTAAATAACTTTTGTGTTACATACCCTATGTCAAAAATTGATAGTTTTTGAAATATTGTGGCTCAAAAGTATTTCGTAATCCCTATTTGTTTGTATTTTATGCAAAAACTGAGTATGCCAGAACAAAAAAAAAATCATGGTTATTTGCTCCTTATTCAAAGAGGTATCCGATAAATAATTAAAGAGAAGAATTAATGCAAGTTAAGAAAAACGCTTTTTTCGAAAATGAATGTTTCAGTTTTTGATCGGACCCTGTACGAAACTGGTTCATCTTCTGGAAATGAAACTTCCACTACCTAATCCTACTTTTTTATCCTTTATTCAAATATGACAAATTCAACCTTCATTGATACCTGCAAAATTAAAAATTTGATAACCCATTTTCAAGTTGTCACTTCACTTATTTAATTACATATACCTACGTACATTACGGCTATATTTCAAAAACTATCAATTTTTAACATAGGGTATTCATACAAAAGTTATTTAGAATTGTTCAAAGAGTCAAAAAAAAAAGATAATATACAGGGTGTCCCATTTGAAATAACAAAGTCAAGGCCATTTCCGGTGAAACCGGAAAAGATATTCAATTGTTTTTATATTAAAATTGTTCACAATTTTCAACCCTATCAATAAACCGAGTTGCATATTTCTATCTCGAGCCGTTAAGAAATGGCGCCATGGGTAGTAGTTTCATTGTCACCTGGTAGAGTATATCACATGAAATCTGCTCAGAATTGGACGTAGAATCCTAATATCAAATAATATACAGGGTATTAAATTTAAAATAAGAATGTTGGAGGACGACCAGTTTTTTTGAAACACCCTGTATATGCAAAAGTGATTTTTTCAAAAAATTTAATTTCAACCATAAATTTTTTATTTGGGACACTTTTTTCCAAAATGTGAAATAAAAAAGATAGAGGGGGGTGACATTTATAACCAAAAACCCTGTACCTAATTAAATTCATACGAATGGTTAAGCAAGCACTTACCATCATTAGGCACTAAACTGGAATCATCCGTGCCTTCATCACTTTCCTCCAAAAGTCTCGAGGGTAGAGTCCGTGCTTTCCTTAGAAAACTCAGTTTATTCCTATATTTGTCCACAAGCTTTCCTCTGGCAATAACACTTTTTTTGGTTCTAGAGCTTCTTTTAAGGATTGGAGCTGTATAATAAACCTGCCGCAACTCATTCGGGAAAACTTTTACGATCTCCTCAGCAAGTTGTTTAAAATCTTCATTTTTTAACCTCCTGAAAAAAAGTGTAATTTATGATTTTTAAGATAACTGCCCCCTAAATGATAAATAGATTTTTCAGTAGTGGGTTGTTATGGCCATAAATCAAATTGATTTTAAAAATTAAAACATAATTAATTTATTCTACTTTATTTAAAGCTCTAATTTTTTGTATTATAACCTAAAAATATAAAATAAAATTGATAAAACTATAAATAAAAAACCTCTTCTAAACCGGATTCTTCAGGTAAGGTCCCCAATATGGAGGCCGCATTACCCCTTTGAATTGCAAGACTGATCCGCTGCGTCATGAAGCTTCTAGCATTTTTTGTTTTAATTTTGGCTGCTATGCCAGACACCAATTTTTTAGCTTCATCGCCCCATGGACCTAACGTCTCCACTGCAAAGGTGCAAAACAAAAATCCTCTGTCTTCTAATTCTTTGTACTTGGCTCTTTTTATTAATTCTCCTATCTTGGCTGCCTCTCCTGATTTTTGGGAAGTTTTGCCAACATAGGAGCTGCAAAGCGTGTCCTTGCAAGTGGCATCCCAAATTAAAGATTTCCCCCCTCTCCAAGGAATTAAAGTGATTCCATCAGCCCGCTTTCCATCGCTCCTACAAAAACCAAACGGTTCTAGTTTTGCTGGGAATCCTGCTGAAACTAGAGACCGTTTGATAATGTCGTTGATCAAACTGTGGCGAGTCCAACGACCAGCACTCTTTTTGCAGCTCAGGCCATGAAGGCCAAATTTGCTCACTATTTCGCCGCAAGTGCAGGTGTGAGATTCACACACAGGAAGACCAAGACGAAGAGCGACGGAAACACGGAAAGACGAGTCATCCAACAAGTTTCCTAAAGGAGAAGAGGGTAAAGCACTAAGCCAAGCGTTGCTTTCTGGTTAATTAAGAGCTAGAAGACGTGCTTTATCAACTTGAGATTTTGTAGATACAAAAATTTTATTAAAGAAAACTTCACACATTGCTGTATCAAAGTCTTTTTGTGATTTTAAATTTGAGGTATCCAAAATGCCAGTTAAATTTTGAAATTCCTTCGATGCTTCGATCAAAGCCAAGTCTGGATGCGAAATAATTTCGCTAGGAAGAATTTGTGGAAACAAATATGAAGAATCGTTCACAGAACCAAGAAAAGCTGAAAAACATAAAGATGAGCTATTTCTAATTCCCAAACCACCTAATTTAGTTGGAAGAGTGCACAGTGACCAGGCATTCGAATCAATTTTACAATTTATAATATTTTCTAAACTGCTTTTCAGAAGTTCGTCAAATTTTTCCAAACATTCGTGCATTCTCCAGCAAGGCGCACTTCGAAGTAAGTGATTCTCGGAATTGAAAAGGAATGTTTCAAAAGAAAATAGGCAGTATGAGAATTTAGAGATAAAAGTTTGTTAGAAAATTTCGTAAAAACATCCAATTTCGATGAAAAAAAATTACCAATTTCCTTTTCAAAGAAGGGTACTCCTAAAAGAGAAAGTTTTTCAAAATCAACTTTTAATAAACCTTCCAGTTTTGAGTCAAAATATGGAATATTTAAATTTTGTTTATCACTCAAAAATGAAAATTCACACTTTGCCATGTTAATTTTCAAGCCAATATTGGAACATTCTTTTTTCAAAAATTCAAAATCTTCTAGTACGCTACAAAGGTCTCCAGCTAAAGTTCCGTCATCGAGATACCATAAGTTTATATCAGATTTTAATTTTGATATTATAGACTGAAGAGATAAGCAGAACAGTGGTGGACCTAACGGATCACCTTGTTGTACTCCCCTTTGTGAAAAAATGATTTTTTCTCCAAATGATAAAAAAGAAGGACTTCTA